TTACTTGTATGGTGTAGTTGACTGTTTTGTGGACTTTGTTCACCCTTGTAATCTCAAGTTTTATACTTCGTATGATGAAGTTTTGATTTGCCTATTGGCTTCTCTTCTCATTACCTTTTTTTTCTTTTTGTGCTTTATTATTTAGTGATACTATTTTGTTCTTGACTTTTTACTTACTTTTAAAATATTTATACCTGTTTCCCATTATGCTAATAAGGTATTTTTTAGTAGATTTCTATGGATTTTGGTTTCCTAGCTCTTCCCTTTAGGCTCTAAACCTAATTTTCTCATTTAGGAAAAAAAACCAAACGTCTCCTTCAAGTTTAATGCACTATCTCTTGATGTGATGACCCCAAGAGGGATCCAATTTAATTACACACTGACCACTGCTACTTAATGGCTTAATCTCACTTCCTGAACCAGTTCCACTGTGTTACAGGAGACACGTATTTTGTGACTTCTGTGAGCTCCGCAGTGAGTTTCCTTAGAAAGAAATAAATATTGAATATTTTTCTTTGCTCTCTAACCTAATTTGACACTTGGACCGGTTGGCAGTTGTGTAGCTGAGAATGTCCATTGTGTCTATTGCAACTGATGCTGTTTGTGGGCACCTCTGGCTGCCAAACACATTTGAATTGCTGCTCTGGCCTCCCCTCCGAATCGAAGGGCAGTGCAGGGCCAGTATTTTCCCACATCAAGCAATGATGGCTTTGTTCTTCTTGTCTTCACGGGGAGGACAAGATGTGAAGTTGGAGTCACAGTGCTCTTGCTCTTTTTATCAAGCTGGTTTTTTTAGCCTCTTGTGTTTAGAAAAGAGAGGTGGTTCTGGTGCTTAAGACTGCGATGCCAAATCTTCCTTCTGCTCTGCGTCAGGGCAGGCTTCTGTCAAACTGAGGCTCTTGTGCAAGTAAGACAGGATTGTTATTTCCAAGATCTGCTGTAAAGATTTACAAAAGGGTTTGAAATATAGATTTCAGATTTCTTCATTTCCTATCCCTGCCCTGGAAGTGTCTCAAATGAGAAGATACTGTTGAATCCACATAAGTCCTATATTTCTGAAGAATGTTTCATCCTGCCCATGTATATTTTTGTCTCTATCTAAGAGGACAGTGGGGCCCTTTCTTTCTGAAAAGCTTTTTTACTATTTGCCTCGATCTCTTGAAGGTTCCTGATAAAACACATTTCTTTTTACAGTGGCTGATACAGTGTGATAAACTCTTGATGCAGTAGTTACTGATGCTTACTTGGGTTTCTGATCTTGAGGTGCAGTCAGAAGGCTAGGAAGGCTGGTGGTCCATAGGTTGGTTGGGCAACGTGAGTCTTCAGTGCCAAAACAGTACAATGTCTCAGCAGATGAATTTCATAATTCTTTATAACACCATTTCTCTCCCCTTTTTGCTAAACCTAAGTGCTATACAATAGTATTTATTAGGTCAGATGATGTACTTTGCTCCAAAACATTAATATGGGAAAAAATGAACAATTGTGATTAAAATTGATTTTTTCCCTTTGAGAAGTTAGAATAAAAAATGGTTACCTGCTCATTTATGAAACAGATTTATTCTGTTGACATGGAGGCTTGTTTGAAATGTAATTGAATTTCTGTTACCTAATGGAAAGTGACAGTTAACAGTATTTATTTTCCATTTGTGTCTCAGTAGATAACATAACACAATTTTGATTTGTAGTTAGCTTTGGAATCTGAGATTGTTCTATCTTTGTAATTGAAAAGATGGGAGCGCGATGGCCTATTACAATTCTGGTTTTGTTTTTTTACACCAGGAGAGGCAACATTAATACAGTAAACAGCATCTATTCCAGCTTAATAGTTGTACTGAGATGTTATTTTTGCATCCTGCCTTTCTCATTAGAAACTGCCACATCATGATCTGGATTGATAATTCTTCCATTTAGACACTCTCTGCAGCAGCTAATTTCTATGAGCAGTGCCTCTTTCCTTGCCCACCTCAAAATAACTTTTTAACCTTTCAGCTAGAACAATTTTCTTAGCCATAAAATTAAAATTATATTTTCATACATTTCTTTTGCAATTTATTTTCATGACATGTATCTTGCTCACTTTGTATGGAAAGTACCATCACTCAGCATGTTGAGGACAGCCCCAGCATCAGGCCCAACCACCATGGGTTCATGAAAAGCGGGTCCTACTTGACCGACCTGGTCTCCTTCTGTGATAAGGTGACCCAATTAGTGGATGAGGGAAAGGCTGTGGATGTTGTCTGGCTGAACTTTCATAAAGTCTTGACACCATTTCTCATGGCATTCTCCTGGGGAATGTGGCTGCTCATGGCTTGGACAGGTGCACTGTTCCCTGGATGGCCCAAGGAGTGGTGGTGAGTGGAGCTATATCTGAGATTGTCTGTTCCTGATTGAAAAGATGGGAGCATAATGGCATAATACAATTCTGGTTTTTTCTGGTGATCATCCCCCTGTACTCGGCACTGGTGAGGCTGCACCTCGAATCCTGTGTTCAGTTTTGGGCCCCTCACAGTAAGAAAGATATTGAGCTGCTGATGCATCTTCAGAGAACAGCACAGAGGCAGCAAAGCTGGGGGAAGAGTCTGGAGCACAAGTCTCATGAGGAGCAGCTGAGAGAGCTGGGGTTGTTTAGCCTGGAGAAAAGGAGGTTCAGGAGGGGCCTTATTGCTCTCTATGACTTACCTGAAAGTAGATGGTAGTAAGGAGGAGATCAGTCTTTTCTCCTGGGTAACAAGTGATTGGACAAGAGGAAAATCCCTCAATTTGCACCAGGTGGGAGTTGAGATTTGGTATTAAAATTTTTTTCTCACCGAAAGGGTGATCAGGCTTTGAAACGGGCTGCCAGGGAAGTGGTGGAATCTGGAAGTGTTCTAAAGGTATGTGGATGTGGCACTTGGGGATATGGTTTAGTAGTGAGCATGGTGATGCTGGGTTAATAGTTTGACTCGATGGTCTTAGAGGTCTTTTCCAACCTTAATGATTCTATGATTCTGTGAAGCCATTGCTTCATCATTAATGTTAAAAGCAATAGGTAACAACTTGGTTTTTATATTGTTACATGCCTTATGCTGCAATTTTCCTGCTGCTTTTTTAGAATTCTGCTTAACCCAAAATGAATAGGCAGCCTCTTGGCTCAAGTGAAGTTATTTCTCTTTGAAGCTAGAGTCTACCCATTCCTACTGGTACTCTTAAGTGTGATGACACTGAAGGTGAAACACTTTCTGGAGAGGCAGTTGTCTGTTCTTTCTGTTGTGGTGATGAAACCTTTACTGTCAAGGCCTGGTCACAATTTACTTGCCTTGTAACTTCCAGAGTTATAACTGAGTCTGTGAAAAAAATCTGAAGTGAGTGTTATGCAACAGGACCAAACTTTGTGGAGGAGCCTATTTTCTCTAAAGTGCAGAAGAATAGTCAAGAAGATTGTTTGATGTCAGATGGTACAAGATGGTGCTTCAAAACAAGAAGATGGCTGTCACAGCACAGCCTCCATTCATCCAACCTGCTTTCCAGATGGGCCAGAAGCAGGACACTAACCACCCATCTTGGTTTATGAGCTTCCAATGCCAATCTTTCTACAGTATTTTAAACTAGTAGGTTTTAAAACAGTAGTTGTGCATTGTCCTGTTGCAGCATTTGGGAAGGGGTATGATTCAGATCATATTTTTGGTATACTCAAGTGTTATGTACTCATGAATTCAAGCTTTTTATAGTGTGTCACATATAACAACTATTAATTATTCTACCACCAGCTTTTTTTCTTTGAGCTGATGAATAAATTAAGAAGTCGGGTTTTTATGAGTCTTCAGTCTTAAGTTGATTCAGGAATAGAAAATAGAAACATGGTTCTGTGGTTTCTGAAGTGGAAACTGAGTAGACCTTATATGTATCAGTAGCATGCTATCAAGAAGGATTGTTTCACTGGGATTATTTTAAGGGATTGTGTGCATGAAAACCACAGAAAATGGATACAGATTTTTGAAAATCCACAAATAGTTCCTGAAAATAGAAAAGCAGTTTTATAGCTCCTGTCTTCAGGTTTTCAAGTTTTAATTCAAATAAAAGTCTATGTTTTCCAAGTGTACTTCATGAAAACCTCAGTGATTTCTGATATGAACTTCGTAGAAGTTGAATTTATTTATTCAATAAATAGATGAAACTATAAATAATAACAGTGCATAAGATACCCTAAATTGACAAAACCCCAAATTAAACCGAGCATGAGACTTGCTGCATTGAATATGAAAAAAAAGTATTTCAATAAGAAGCATGAAATGTGTTGTATTTTCGAAGCAACCTTGAGCTGCTCTGGAGTACTCACAAACCACAGATTTCATCCTTGTCCATTGGTTGGCCTCAAATAGTCATAATTTCAGACTTCCCTTGGTTATTTTGATTATCCAATCTGGGAGAGAAATTTCTACTAATTTTGTTATAGCTGGAATATAAACCGAAGTAATTACCAGAGCATTTTGTGAAATAAGCAACCTTTTGCTGGAAGGATGGCATTTGAGAAGGCTTTATGTGGCAAACTGTGTGTGAAATACACAGCAATGCCGTATGTGAAAAGGAAACAGAGGGTGTATGTATGCTGTTCGTCAGTTGTTTATGTTTAATTGGTATGTTCCTGCAGGAAGCCTGCTGATCTGTGCTGATAATGGTGTAAAACAGAAGTTTTAGACATAAATGTGTGCTTCAAAATAGCTGTATAGCAAAAATGAAAATATGTTTTATAAGTAACTAGATCTGTGGAAAGACTTCCAATATAGAAAAATTAAAAAGCTGGAATCACTTAGTTTTGAGCAGAGATTAATGGTAGGAGCGGTAGGAAATAATGGTAGAAGGAAAGCCTGGAGAGATTCCTTACTTACCTTTCTTCATCATCTAAGAATGGTGAAAGGGGGGAAGCATCCTACTAGAATTGACGTATTTATCCAGGTAATCATTCATCACTGTACAGTTTGACTTGTCAGTGTGCTAATGGTTTTATTTTTATATTGCAGTTGTCAAGGAAGGAAGTGTAATTATTCCCATTTTAAAGGACAATGACTTGTGCAGGACATCAGAAACAGAAGCCTGTTACTGAATCCATGTGCTCACTGCTGGTATGGTTTTATTCTGAGACATAAACATTTCAAGTAAAATTTAATAAATATAAAATAGCTAAAGTTACCACATACAGTGCATGTTTTTGTACCCCAAGCAATGGAGGCGGAGGCCTTGGTTTCCCTGATGATGATAATTGCTGCTTAGCCGAAGAGAAGTGTGTGTGGTGTACACAGACACCTTTGAGGAGCTCTTGCAGTAGAGTGTATAGCACTGGAAACCTGTTATGGCTCAAGATCTTCCTGGAGGGTTCCAAGCTCCTTTTTTGGCACACATCTGTGGTTCTCTGCTGGGTGTCCTCTTGTGTGCTGGGCTTTCAGGGAATTAATCATGGTGAAAGTGGCTCAATCAGTGCCATGGGTTGAGTGGCATTTATAAAGTTTCAAATTATATCTGGTTTACTTATTAAATTGAGATTATTATCTGTACTGTATCCACTACAGATGGGAAAAAACCTACATATGGATGAACTTAATGTGCTCATTGGCCTGTGAATATGTTGTCCCCAGAGATGTTACAAATCCACAGGATGTCCCTTAGTGCAGGATTTTGTACTTAGCCTTGTGAGTAGGCTGTAAAAGCAGAGGTGGAAGAACTTCTTTTGACTTTGCAATTGATGGGGCTTATGTGTATTATTCCTTTTAGCAGGTATGTGGAATCTTGCATTTTGGATGCCCATACCTGATGTAGAATGTGGCGAGAATGTGGCCCACCAGTTAAAATATCAGTTCCTTTCACTTCTGTGCTGTTTACCATAAACAGCTTTGTCAGCTGTAGCATTTTTAGAGTCAGATGAACTGGGCTGCAGATGAGCTCACGTGAGATGATGCCAAGCCCCCAGTCCAGGGATAGATCCCAATCTGGCCATGGGGAGGTGCAGCTCTCGTAGTCCTAAGGTGCTTTCTCATTAGTCTGCCTTCTGCGCTGTTTCTCCCTCCTGGCCCACCTCACACATCTGTTAGGGCAAACTGAAACGGAAGCAGAGGGGAATAAACTCGGAGGTTGGAATGGATATGCTCCCTCCTTACCACTGTTCCTGACTACAACAGAGGGGGCTGCTGTCCTCCCAGCTTCCTGCATTTTCCCTTCAAAAAGACAAGGGGTGATGGTTTTAAACTAAAAGAGGGGATGTTGAGACTAGGTGTAAGGAAGAAATTTTTTATGATGAGTGAGGTAAAACACTGGAACAGGTTGCCCAGAGTGCCCAGGTTGCCCCATCCCTGGAAACATTCCAGGTCAGGTTGGATGGGGCTTTGAGCAACCTGGCCTAGTTGAAGATGTCCCTGCTCATTGCAGGGGGGTTGAATCTATGGTTCTGTATAAACGTGCAGGCTCCCAAAAGTTGTATTTTTTTGTTGTCCTAGAAGTGCCTCAGTTTACATGGTTGAAAAAATTTGTGATAGGGATTCCTGTCTGAGATCTTGCCTATTAAAACCTCTACCCTTCCATTTGTTAAGCTACATACACGGATCTGCATGAAATGAAGGAAAATTTGTGGAAAGGTTTACTAGAGATATTGTTAATAGTAAATGCTTGTACATATAAATGCATTTTATTGCAGAGGTTTCAGTGAGTATTGTGTGCAGTTACGCTTTGAAACACAGTGGTAAGCCATCTTCTGACAGGGCCTGAAGTTTCTACATACATTACATTTGTTCTCTGAAATTTTTATTGTAAGCTCAGCAGCATAAAAGTAGTGCTGGATTCTTGCTCCAGCTTTGATGTGCTGTGCTGAGCTACAAAAAGGTTTGTAAAGGGAGACTTCACTTAACTGTGCTCAGACTGGAAAGCAAAACTGGTGCTCTCCAAGTGTTAGATCCAGATCAGCAAGAGTTTCAGAGCAGAAATAAGGAACTAAGCAGTGGAAAACTCCTTTAAAAAAACCCACAACAGAAACCCCAAACAAATAAATAACTTCTTGTGGACATCACTGTTGGGTACTCCAGCTAGATGGTTTTGAAAGCTAAAGAATTTGTCCAGAGGAATGGAAATAAATGTGGGGAAGTATTAGGAGTAATAATATAAATACAGGAAACTCTAAGTTGCTGCATTCAAACTCTTTAATGCCTTTCAGTGAACTTTCTGATGGTTTATAAACCAAATCATATGTATTTGATACCAAAACCAGCCCTTTTTTCCATGTCTGCAGTGTTTTTGAAATACTTTCTCTACTAATTCCCATATCAAATACATATGCTAAAATGTCCTTAATTTTCTACTGAAATCCCAAATTATGTATTTGGAAGGTGTTTCCCTAATAGCTGTAGGCTGCTAAGAATTGCATCTAGGATTGATATGTATTTCACATTTTTTATATTAAGGGTTTACTTACTGTAAGCTTAACACTGGCTTTACAAGGCACAACATGGAGTTTATTGGCCCAGCATAGAGTTTCACAGAGCAGGAGTATTGTCCGAGCCTAATAATTTTTCTGTTTAAAAACTGATATATTTATTTTTAAATTCCATGTCCTGCATGTGCAGGAGGGACTCAGGTAATTAAAGTACAGAGAAGTTAGTTTGGGTATATAAAACTTTTGATTGTAACCACATGCAATATTGTCTGCCAAACAATATTGTTTGCCAAACCTCACCTATGGCTACAGTGACATGTCTTCATAGGAGAAAAACTGTAAGTATTGCCAGCAATCATTTTTCTTTCAGTTGGGAAAGCAAAGATTTGGTTGAAGGCATGTATTTTTGTTTAAGACCACTGGTGCCTCAAACCGTGAAAATGGCAAAACGTTTGTGATAGTTTCTTTACTATATAATTTAATATAGTTATTTTTCAATACAGGAATATAAGCAAAAAGAGAATACTGGGAAAAAGAAAAAAAACATACTAGAATAATGTGATTTAAACTTTGACAGCGTACCATCATTTTTAGCTGATAATGCTAATGAAAATTTTGGAGACCCTATTCTGCCTACAGAATAATGGAAAATAAGAATGAATATATGCTTTTGACTAATTGCATTGCTCGTAACTCTGTGATTCCATGTAGCAGGAGAGGGTACACTGCATGTCATTCACCAGCTGCTTTTAAAAGTGTAGGAAAAATTCTCAATCTCTTTTGTGTGTGTGAAAACAGAGTTTTAAAATTGTAGGAGATATGTCAGTTTGCCAACCTTTAAGTGAGGGGTAGCTTGTATCAAAGAGCTAAGGACAGTATTTGGCTCTAGATAGTATTTGGCTATAAATGCATTTGTTATTTGAAAACACATCATGGCAAAACAAAATGATGAAAAGGGATTTCATTCATTAGCGTACACGAGGCAGCTCTCAAATACCTGTGTCACAGTTTGATGCTGGCAAGCAGAACTATCTTTACTTAGTTAGGTACCTTTCTCTGAAAATATGTGAATTATTCCTAAACATTATTAGCGGTGAAATTTGACGGAAGTTTGCATTTGTCTGAATGAGAAAAAGCTTTGTACTGGCACATTCAGTAGTTGTGTCTGTACTTCAAGACTGGATATCAAGGTACAGTTATGTATTCAGTCTTCTCTCAAGTTCTTACAAATTGCAGAGATTATTGTGTCAGCAAATTCAGCATTGAATAATATATATCCTGTGTGTTGGTAGACTTGAACAGATGGCAAAAGAGTGGTAAATGCTCTTTCCAGTAAGAAGAACTACCTTAAGGTTAAAATGTTTGTCTATGAAGGGATCTGGGAATTGACCAAAATAAGAGAGAGGCATTAAAATTTATAATAGTTGCAATTTGAAAGAATAAATCAAAGATTATTAGAATTAAATTGTTCTTTTGAGAGTAGTAGAGTGGACAGTAATCTTAAAGTGACCACGTCCGTTGTTGTGGCTGGAGCTCAGCCTGGTCATGCAGGATGTGAGGCTCTGCTTCTCCCTGGCATCCATGTGCCATGGGTACAGTACAGGTGAGCCTGTTCAATTCTAGTTGTGGTTGTTTGAGTATTTGCAGCATTTAAAATAAGTGTTACATTTCTTACGAACTTTTAATTGAAGCACACCACCACAAGGCTTTGTTAAGACAAGAGGCAGGAGTCTTTTCTGTAGCAGATCAGTGGTGCAGAATTAGAAAGGTTTTATAGAACAGGGAAGTTCAGTAACAGGTGTCAGCTTAATACAAAAGGCTGATCCCAGAGTGGTCAGATGGTATCAGGCCATTTAAGTATTCAAGCTGACTTACATTTTGGGATGACAGTATCTTGTTAGTGCTTTGTCAATGGATTTCTTCCCCTTGAGAACAGCAACCATTGGTGAATATGAATATACCAGGATGTTTGTTTTAAATGGTATAGGTGCATAAATTCAAAAAAAAGAATAAAAGTGGTCTAGGATTCTTACAGAAAATATTTCTGAATCTGAGAAGAGCCCACATTGTTCTCCTTCAGGGAAAAAATAACTTTCTTATTTCAGTCAAACTGGATTTGCTCATTCATTTATCTGTTCCAAAACTCTTGACCTGAGCTGTGCAGTCCTGAGATTCAGAACAGCCTACAATATTAATGAAGGAAAACCTTAGAAAATGTTCAAACAATGAAAGTGCATGAAGGTTACTGTGGAGAGTTTAAGGGATGCATGTTGTGTGTGTAAATGTATTGATTATTCATATATTAGATGGCATTAAAGCTTCACAAGTCAGTACCACAAGTCATTGAGCAAAGTTGTAATTTTGGTTTTATTTTGATCTGCATTGAGAAACAAAGGGTATATAATGTAGTGATTGGTTTATTTCCTGGCTAGATGGACTTGATCTTGTGAGATATTTAGTACCTACACATCCCACTGATCTCATAGGTGACAAACATACTTCATGAAATTGCTAGCAATTGAAAGGATATGCTGTGTTCTTACAGTTACTTATGCTGAAGTCAGTGGGATCTTTTAGGTGCTCAGTACTTTTTGAAATCAGGTCACATCTTTAGATTTCTAAATAAAGATTTTCAAAAAGACCTTGGCTCCATGACTCTGTCAGGTCAGAGCCCAAATCTGTTATTCCTTTCTCAGCAGCTTTGAGGATCCTTTCATTGTTACCCTTTTTTTTTTTTTCATTATTTGCTTTCCTCAGTTTCTGGTGAGATCAG